TGCTCAGCATGCCATTTTCTGTCAATACTTGCCTAACTTCTTTTTTCAGCCTTTGATTCCAGTAAAGAAAGAATCTTATCTACCTGGCCCATGCACCCACAACATCCTTTTTCTCTCTGAGCAAGAAGAAAGTCCTTGTCTTTTGGGATATTGATCAGGGTCAGAGTGCCCCTATGAGTGTTTTAAAAATGGTCATTCAGATTATTCACAAACTCTGCTTCAATAGCTTGTTGTATTTCACTTTTCCTTTTTGAATGTTTCTTTAGCTTTGTCCATTTTTCAGAAAAGCTTCTCCAGTTTGATAATGGTATGGTGTTCTGGACAAATTGCAATTCAAGCCTTGTGTCAAAAAGCTGCAGCCTCCTTGGTCACAACATTTGAACTGTCATGTTTAATGTTTTGAGATAGTTTTGTCGGGTGGTCAAGACTCTTGCCTGACATTTACATGCTTGGGGCTGTGCTTCCATCATTTCATGGAAGACTGGGTTCTGTTAGCTCATTTGGAATGGGAGTCTGCCCATCACACTCATCTTCTGCTCCTGAAGGCAGCTTGTCTGGGTTGGTTAATCAAATTGGAGGAGCCATTCTTTATATCTACCAAGTATATTGTCCATTTAGATGTGTTTTTCAACACTCTTCTCAATTGGGCCCAACATTCTCCTCTTTGACTTCACGTGATGGAACTTTCATTTCTCCATGCCCTTACTGCTCCCTCTCTTACAGCTTGTGAGGTTCTATTACTTTTGGGGATGTGGTCTTCCATGGAAGCCCTTATTCCCTTAGGTCGAGCTCATATGAGGTCTTTTCAGTGGATTCTGCACAACCCCAGGAATCCATTGGAGGCTCCTATTTCCCTTCCTCCTTCCCTTATAGGTGATCTGTATTTGTGGTTGGGCAAGGTTCACACATCAGTGGGTGTTCTGCTTCCTCCCCTTCATCCGAATTTACATATCTTTATGGACGCTTCCCTTCAGGGCTGGGGGCATGGGTCGATCAGAAAGATCTTACCATATCAACATCTCAGCACTTCTGGCTGTAGGTTGTGCCATAGATCATTTTCTTCTTCTTGCCAGTAATTATCTGGTCATGATCCATTCAAACAATTCTACAGTGGTGGCTTAGCTCAATCATCAAGGTGGCATCCATTCTTGTTCCCTTTGCGGTCAGACCTTGGAACTCCTTTTTTGGGCCCACACATTCAGTATTCATATCATTGGGTGTCATGCTTTGGGTGCATTCAATATTTTTGCAACTTGTCTCCCATCCCGACACGGTTTATCTGATAGAGTGGTCTCTTGATCCTCATGTTTTTCAGTGGCTATGCCTTCAGTGTCTGTGCATTTGCCACATTCCTCAATACCTAATTACCCCTGTTTTGGTTGCTGGTTCCTCATCCTCTTGTTCTGGCTGTTGATGCGTTCAGTCAAGATTGGACCAACAAATACCTGTATGTTTATCCTCCCAAACACCTTCACAGGGTGATCTCGATCATTTACGTCACACTGTGTCAAGCCCTTCTGATTACTCCATACTGGCTGGCACAACCATGGTTCCCGCAGTTGCTTCATCACCAATCTGCCCCTCCATTACCCCTTTCTCTTACTCCATCCCTTCTGCATCAACCTCGGTCACCAGCCCTTCCTATCCTCTGTCTTCATGCCTGGATTTTATCTGGTCCCTGATGAGGTGATCCAGTTTGTCCCGGTAGTTCGCTTCTTTTTTTAGCTTGTTCCATTTGCTCTTCCTCTAGGGATATTTATCAACATAAGTGGAATGTGTTGTGCCATTTGTTTGGGGTCAAGGGTTTTCCCCTGCTCAACTCACTGTTCCTCAAATTTTGCATTTCCTCACTTGGCTGTTTGATCAGGGCCTTCTGTCTCCTCGATCATGGATTATTGGTCTGCCTTGTCCCACACTTTTCTTTTTCCAGGTACCAAAAGGTTTTTACTTCTCCTACCTTTTCCTGTTTGTTACATTCCTTCTGGATTAGTTGTCCACCTCGGTATGCTATTATTCTAGTTTGGGATGTTAATGTGGTTCTGCACTGCCTCACTTTACCTCTGTTTGAACTTCTGTCCTCGTCCTTGATTTTTCACCGATCCCTTAAGAGTTATTTCTTTCTCCTACTTCTCTGTGGACATTGTTGGTCGGACTTATTTGCCATCAACTTTCCACGAACTTTATATCATTCCACAAATATTCTCCTTCATCCAGATTGATCTTTCCTTCTCAAAACTTCAGTGACTCGGGAGGGTAATTCCCCCTCACTGATTTCCCTTCCTTTCATTTCCCATCTTTATCCTCGGTCAGATTTGGATAGGCTACTATGTCCTGTCCATACTCTTTATTGTTATGTTGCCCACATGACTTCCTTCCATGGTGCCTTTTCTTGCCTATTCATTCCTTAGCAGACATCTTCTGTTCGTGTTCTTTCTCCTTCCACCCTGACCAACTGGGTTCAGCTTTTTATTTGTTTGGCTTATTCTTCCTGTAATTTTTTCCAGGTGTCTTCTCATCAGATCAGGCACCTTACATTTTCCCTGGCATCTCATCTCCATTGTCCCTTGGAGGAAATTCTTCAGTCGGGCATGTGGACTACCCCACATACATTCATATCTCACTACCTGCATCGGATTTTTGTGTCTTCATCTTCAGGTTATCGTCTTCCATCTGTAGCCAATCCTCTGACTTTGAGACTGTGACTAGGTAAGTTATCTTGTATATATATATATCTTGATTTCTGGGGCTTTTCCAGTTTATTTTTTTACTGTCTGGATCCCACTCTGTGGTGAGTGGTGCCTGACCAGATATGTTTCTCATAGTCAAATCCGCACTATCAGGCCATGATGACTTGACAATTATAATTTCAATGTCCACATAATGCACACCGCTGCAATGGGGTGTTCCACAAGATCACTTTTATGTTTGGCCTCAAGATATATTTGCTTCATTAATATGCCCATTCCATACCATACTCACCCATGGACTTTATGAGTAAAGCAGAAGGAGATAGCTGCCCATCCATATCATGCCTTCGGTTGAATAAATCATGTATGGTTGGCTTTTCAAAATAGGGTTTTCATGGTCACTATCTACAGTGTTGTCATTCCTCCGGACTCTCCACAAATGTTTTCTCCCTTTCTTTTCTTCCAGTAGAGTATGGGAGTCCTTACCATTTTCCAGTTTCAAGCTGCTGGGGTGGTGGACCCTGGAGGCATCCACCTGAATGTAATAATGATAGATGATACATATAATGATAAAACCATTTAGTTGAGACTAGAGCAATGGTGTTCTGCTGATGTAGATGACATGTCCTCGGATCTGATGCTCCATCTCTGTATGGGTTTTATCCAAGGGGATGTGGTAGCTTTGAAGTGAGCCATCAAAATTGCAGTTCACCCCTTTGATTGGTATCCCTCATGGATGTTGGTTCCCAGTGGCTGGGTTTTGGATTCAGAGCTGAACCAAGAAACATAAGTCCTCACACGTGTATTATAGGTGACTCTGTGTCCTCACTCAATTATACTTTGGTTCCTCCATTTGTGTTGTGGGTCACATTGGTGGTTCTTACTGATTAATACAGTTCTTCCTCTTATGATATCTTTTGATTTTCTTATACCGAGGATGTTATTGCACTAGGGGTGGTTCCTCTCAGATTGGTTTTCAGTGAGATAGTTTAAATTATAGAGACACCTTTACTGTACTGTTCATCCGGGTTTCTGGTTCCTGGAATGGTCAGACAATTTATCACTTTGCTATCATGTGTCCCGTTCACAGCTTTGGGGGTACAATATTTCCTCCAGTCTCATGAACTTGAGGTGAAGATAGTATGATCTTCTTTCTTATCCCCACCAGATGGCTGGGTTTTGGATTGTAGTTGCCTTGCTGTCAGTATGATTCTCTTTCCTGCCCTCACATGGATGTTGATTCCTGGTTGCTGGGCTTCAGATTATAGTGGACTTACTGATGATATGATCCTCATCCTACCCCCACATGGATGTTGGTTCCCATTGGCTTGGGTTTTGGATGCAGTTGACTTGCCCTGTATGAACCGTCACACCCTAGCCACTCTACAACCTAGGGCCACATCCATTTAATTTCCCTCACATTCCAGTACTCTATGGGTTTGAGATTTGTTATATGGTGGTTCCCACCATTTTTCTCTCTCATAGGGATGTTCTCCTTCCTTTTTTTTCTGCCCATATCTGTGACACCTCATTCCACACTGGGTGAAGAGTATACCTGGTACAGATGTGGTGTTGTCTCTCATGTATGATCCTCTACTGTGAGGATCTATTCTTTTAGAGTGTTCATCGGATGCTTTTGAGGAATGCTGCTTTGTTTTTCTCTTGCACCGGTCCCTCCACCTATTCAATGTGGGATTCTAGCTATTCATGTAAGCGGAGGTAATGTATCATATCGGAAGTTATAATTTTCCTATACTGAAAATATATTTCTGATAGGTACTTACATCCTCTCACCCTTCCTCCCTGCTGAAAACCAGTGCTTCCATTTTCTGCCAAAACTCAAAGTGATAGTTCGTTAGAATCAAATAGAGGGAGTCACATGCATCAGGAGAGTGTGTTGCACTCTTATTGGTGGAGGATTGTCACATGATGACTTACATGCGAGACGCATGTGGGAGCTCAAGGCTTGTGGCATGCAAAAAAGAAAATTGCATATAGAGGGCAGCCCTGAATGAGAATACTTATTTACATGAGAAGAGGTAAGTACGTATCAGAAATATATTTTCAGTACAGGAAAATTAGAACTTTGATTATTTTTTTATTAGAAATTGTTAAATCACTGAATCTATTCCTTTAATACATCAGACTTGTTGCTTTTAGAAACTTGAATTTTTTATATATTATTGAAAAAATTAAATTTGCTTGTTTAAAAACTTCATAATGATTAAAGTAACTGGAAAGACATTTTCAGTTGAAAACTGTATCTTAAGTTTTGGTAAATATTAACAATTCATTACACTTTCACTCTTACAGGTTAAGTAGACATGCGTGTACTGTTGATATTACTTCTCTTAGGAAGCTGCTTCTTGATGGGAATAGGTAAAACACCAACTGATAAAGGTTAGTCAGTTTTATTCATTTTTATTCTGTGGCAGGATAATTGAAAAATTAGAAGAATACACATTTAATAAGACATTGTTTAGTTTTTTGTTCAGTGCATTTTCTAAAAATTAGTGCTATCTGGAGATGCATAAAAATATAAGGATAACCTGTTTTTCTACAGGAAAAAAACTTCTTACTGACCTGGTGACACATATCTATCAGTAGCCTGCTTTTTTTTTTCCTTCCCCTTTTTTAATGGATATGACTTTATTTAGCTTTATAGCATACACTTGTCCCTTTCTAATACAACATAACTTCTTTTAAGATTATCAGAAACTATGTGATTGTTTTTGTAACTGATTATTGTGTGATATGATAAATGATATGATCTTTCTCTCTCTGAATAATTCCAGTTTACTTTGTTTTATATGCTTTTTTTTAGTGTTTGGGTATTTATTCCACTTGCCTTATGTTGTCACAGCTGGATTATAATTATTATTTGAATGAGCTATTTTTGTGCTAGTGCTAGCCTAGCTACAAGTCTGTTATTTTCAGCCATTTTCACTATTTTAGTGGTTTTGGTTGTTGTTTATGTAGAACTGTACATGTAGTGAAGTATTTTTAATAAAATAAAATATAAGTTTGTCCATGAATATATTGAGTATTTGTTTTGAATAGTCCATGTGCAAAGTAAATGCATTTCACATGTTTTATGTTTTTTTTTTCAGTAAAACTTTATAGTTTATCTGTTGTTTTCTCTGCCCTATCTCAAAACAGGATCAGTCAATACAACCAATCTCGTAACCACAAAAAAAAAAAAAAAATTGACCTAAATTAACCTTTTTTTCTTTCTAGAATGACTTCAAGTTGTAACATGAAACTACATTTGTTTATCCTAAGTAGCTCTAAGTTCATAACATTATACATCTATTTATAATTAAATTTTATTGTTTTATTGCCCTTTAAACCATGCCTAACTACTATCAGTGCC